CCCCAAGACATCCCATGCTCCTTCTGGACACTGTAAATAGTTTGGGATCTTTTCCTTATGTTAAACTAATGACTTACTTCCTGTAACTTTTTGCCATAAGTCCCAGCTCTTCCTCCCCTTCCCCGAGGTAAAGACAAACAGAACAAGTTTAATCCCTTAGTCACAGGTTAACCCTTCCAAAAAACAACTGGCTTGCCCCACTCCCTATCCCTGAAGGGTTCTCTTTTCCAGACTAAAATGTCGTGGCACGGTGGAAAGAGTGTTAGCCTAGAGTCAAAGACCCTGGGTTCAGATCTCACCTTTGCTCTTGCTTACCCATGTAATGTTCAGCAATTCACTTGACCTTTCTGGGCCTCAGTTTCCTCCTCTGCACAATGAGGGAGTTGGACTAAATAGTTTCTAAGTACCTTCCAGCTCTAGATGGATGATCCTAGGATCATTGGCAGCTTTGTGGCTCAGTGGACAGATCACTAAGCTTCAAGTCGCTAAGACCTGAGTTCAAATGCAGACTCAGACATTGACTAGCTGTGTGACCCTGGGCAAGTCACTTAATTTCTCTTTGCCTCAATTTCCTCATCTATGAAATAGGGGTGATACTAGTAGCACCTACCATCTAGAGTTGTCATTATCAAATGAAATAATATTTGGGAAGCACTTTGCAAACCTTTAAAGCTACATATAAATGCTAGTTATTATTACCTATGATGCCCACATCCTTCAATGGAGCCCTCACACTTCTGTAGTAGATAAAATTCAAGATTGAGTCAGAAATACCTGCGTTTAAATATTGCTTCTGATATTTGCTAGTTAAATAGCTACGAATATCTTCACTGATTCTCAGTTTCCTTTCTTATAATATGAAGATGATGGTAGTGGTGGTGGTGATGAAGATGAAGATAATGATGTCATCTGTAGGCGGTACTACACAGGGTTGTTGTGAGGCTCAGATGATACGATGTATTTAAAGCATTTTGCAAACTTGAGTGGCCTCGGGGAATAGTAGCTGTTGGGAGCACTTCGTGGCTTTCCCTGGTCCTCGTCTTTGGGGAGAAAGCTTTGACAGGGTCGTGATTGACAGCTCAAAGCCTGAGCTTCAGGGAAAGATCCAGTGCTTTTCAGGACAGCTCAATAATGGAATTCTAACATCAAAATGAAGACTCGAAATGAGATTCTTCTGACTCAGGTGAAACTGGAACATTTCACTAATACTCTGTACTGGATGCAAATGAACGAGCTTCATAATCCCTTGTGTCTGAAAGAAATTGAACCTACCTAGCAGAAAGTAAGCTGAGGATAATAAAAGTTTTAATAAAATCTTAGTGCTGGACCTATGGCATTGGTGCTAAGCTGCTTCAGGCTAATGGCAAATCCCATCTATAAAATTGGTCAGGGTAGAAAAAGGAGATATATTCCTCAAATCTATCTTCCAACCCAGTCTGAAAAATAAGTTAAAAAGGTCGTTTAGTGTCTTCCTTTAAACATAGCCCTAGAACTAGAGCCTCTGGTTTCCAACTATGGGAGATCATGCCAATACGTGAAGATACAGTTGTTCAGTAAAAAAATCATGTTGAATTCTTTCCATAGCCCTCACAATCTTTGTTTTCTTGGTGTAGGACAAATTCCATTTCAACAGCCTTAAAGCCATGTTTCTCACTTCTTGGTTAAACTTGAATATGGTTGTATTGAATATTCCCCCAAATAAAATGGGGGTGGGACTTAGACATCTCAGGCATATATCACGATCCTAATAAGATCTATTGTAATGGCATTTGGTCTAGAGTCAAGCAGGCAATACCCATTCCATAGGCCTTGAGTGAGGAGCAATCACAGATGATATAGCATTTTTCAAGAATCCTGAGCTGATCATGGGATCGGAACTTTAAGACCAAAAAAAAAAAATGAACCTTACATGCCATCTATTCTAACCCCATCATTTTACATATGAAGAAACTAAAACCCATAGAAGGGAAATGACTTAGCTCTTATGTGACAGAGCCAGCCTTGCATTCTGATCCTATGAGGCCAAGTCTAGTATATTTGATTTGGTAGCCAAATGGTAAACAGAACAAGTCCAACTAATAGTCAACCATTGCTCTCATTGTGGTGAAACCATTGTTCTCATTTGAAATGCAGAAACACAACTGTCCTGGCTGTGGGCTGGGCCCAGCTGCAGAGGCAGGAGCCAGCAGCCTCTCTGGCTTCAAAGGGATTCTTATTGGCTCTGGGGCACATCAGCAATTGGATTCGGGTCAGGGAAGAGAACATTCAGGGGCCGCTTTCCTTGGAAGTCCAACCTCGTGGTTTGGCATGGTGGGAACTTGGATGGCCTGCTCAGGGGAGATTATCTAGTACCAACAATGCAAAAGAAGGCCTTTAATGCATTTGTATATCTCCAAACATAATTAGCTCAGGGTCTGCTTAAGCAAAGAGCCAGAATTTACTGGGTCTGACGTGCTAAAAAAAAAAAAATACTGTCTCTCAGATTACTAATCCATTAAATCCTGAGCCCTGCATTTGTGAGCACTCTACCCCTGTTACCCTAAGAAAGTGATGCAAGCACGGGGCCCTCTAAACTTCCTAGGGGATTGGCCTGGCCCTGGGTTAGAGTCCGCAGCATAGGAAATGTGAGCAAGCTCTATCCCAAAAGGAACTCAGAGGAGCCTGTGCAACTGAATGGACATTGGATCACTGATTACATGAGCTTTCTCAAGGACAATAGAAGCAGGCTGGCTGGCCTGCCAAAGGCTTACCTAGCTTGCTCTCTTTTCCTAAAAGATGAAGCAACAGAGTTTGCTGTTCTTCTCATGGGACATTCCATCTCCCAATGTCCATCTCCCAGCTTTTTGCCTCTGTGCTGATTATTACTAGTGCCTGGAGTGATGCCCCCCTCCTTTCTGCCTCCAGGCTTCCCTAATTTCCTTTAAGACTCCGCTCAAATGCACCTTCTCATTGAAGCCTTTCCAATTCTCTCCCTCCTTCCCTTCCTGCCCCCCATGCCTTCCCTTTGAGATGATAGCAATCATAACAATAACAATAAAGAGCATTTATATGGATACATATATTTTTAAGGTTTACAAAGCATTGTACATATATTATCTCATTTGACATCTTGATGATGGAAGTGCTAATCTTAAACCCATTTTACAGGTGAGGAAACTGAAGCTAACAGTGATTAAATAACTTGCCCAAAGTGACATTACCTTCCCCTTACACAGTGCATATATGTACATAATTGTTGTCATGTTGTTTCTCTTATTAGGATGTGAGCTCCTTGAGAGAAGGGACCATGTTTTTGTCCACATTTATGCATTTTGGACAGTGCTTAGCACATAGTAAGTACTTAATAAGTGCTCATGGACTGATTGACTTAGACCTAACTGCCATTTCTAAAGAAAACCACACTAAGTGGTTTGCAAAAATAATTCTGTGGGATTCAGGACTAGATTTTCAAAACTATTAACCAAAGTCTGATATATTCAAAACTGTCCCATGCATATTTAATAGCATTCTGACAGGAGTATAAGACAAGATTACACTAAAATCAGCAAACAGTCATTGAGCACCTGCTGCATGCCAGCACTGTGCTGAGCCCTGGGGATGCAAGAAAAAAGAACCTGACTTCAAAAAGCTTACATTCTAATGGGGGGAGGGGGAGTGCAATGTATATATCAGCAAGTATAACACAAGGTAATATTAACAATTACAATAACAATAATAATAATGTGGCATTTTGTTGAGTAATTTCAGACTCTTTGCGACCCCATTTGGAATTGTCTTGGCAAAGATACTAAAGTGGTTTGCCATTTTTTTCTCCAGCTCATTTTGCAGATGAAGAAACTGAGGCAAAAAGGATTAAATGGCTTGCCCAAGGTCACCCAGCTAGTACATGTCTGAGGCCAGATCTAAACTCAAGACAGATGAGTCTTCCTCACTCCAGGCATGGCGCTTTATCCACTGCACCACCTAGCTGCCCCATGTGGCACTTAATAAGAAGTTAAAAGTTTGCCAAGCAATGTGTATACTTTTTCATATTAAAACCTCATAAAAATATCTGTATGGTAGGCATTAGATGCATTACTATGCACATTTTTACAGATTAGGACACTAGGATTTAGACATGTCAAATGATTGGCTCATATTCATTTGGGCAGTAAGTGTCAGAGGCAGGCTTTAAATCTACAACTTGTTCATTCCAAGTTTTCATCCTTATTTCTTTCCTACTACCTATTCATGTAACTGGTATTTAATAAACAACTATTGAGCTTAATAATAATGATAATAATTACATATAATAATACTTGAATTTAATAAATAGCTCTTGAGTTTATCAGTAATAATAATAGAATATAATAATATTTGTTTATTAGATAACTATTGAGTAAATGGATGAATGCATGCATAGCCATTGTGCAGTAGAGAGAGCCCTGGAACTGGACTGGGGTCCAGGTTGAAAATTCAGGTTATGCCTCTGACTTCCCATATGACATTGGGGCCAATTACTTAATCCCTGTAAACTTCCATTTTCTCACATATAAACAAAGTAAATGGAATGACAAATGAAGAAAGCATTGATTAAGTACTTCTTACATGCCAAATGTCAAAGCTGGACCAGATGATCTCTAAAGTTCTTTCCAGCTTGAATTCTATAATTAATCACGCAATATGACTATAGTACCAACATTTCTTTTGTGGAATATTGAAATGAACATCTTTTTGAACCACATAAGGCTGAAGCCACATCTTAGGAGAAAAGCTGTGGTTCAAATGTAATCCAAATGAACCAATATTGCTATTCATTGAATCCATCTGTTTTCTTAATTGGTAAAGAGAAAAGTTTTCAAGTTCTATGGTTCATTGCAAACTCGCTTTCTGCCTTTTTCATCATAGGTGGTTGAGAATCTCCTCACCACTCTTAGCCTTAACTGAGGATTATCTCACCTTCTGTCAATTTCCCTCATGGCCCTGGATGCATTCACCTCTCCCTGGTGTGTCTCTTACAGACAGAGCAGCTGCTAACCCTTTGGATCCTCTTTGTCTTCACCATTGTGGGGAATGCCTTCGTGCTGTTCTCTACCTGGAAGAGGAAGAGGAAGTCAAGAATGACTTTCTTTGTGACCCAGTTAGCAATCACAGGTGAGCCATTGGGAGGGTGGGAGTGGAGAAATACCGAATGAGGAATCCCACTGGTTCCCAACTTTACCATGGCTGCACCAATGGAGGGAAACAGTGGCCCAATATAGTACATGATCCAAAAGTCATTTTTGTTCCATTTGAACTCCCTTTCCTGGTCCTTCATAATCCAAGTTCAACTTGTCCAACTTTATTTTACATGATCTTTCATGTGAATTATTCACAGGAATTAATTTACACTGAATTATTCATCCTTCCCTATTCTCTCCAGCTGTTAATATCCCCTTTCAACTGTTTCTGTTCTCTCCCTGATCAAACATTCCTGTTCCTCTCACTCCCTACCATGTGATATGCTTATTTGTATCTAAGATATATTACTCCAGTAGACTAGAAGTGCCTTGAAGACAGAGATTGTTTCATTGGGAAGTCAATTGCCTCCTCACACCTTATAATCCCTTGTTTCCTTCAAAATTCTGCTCAGTCCACATCCTTTACAATTCAGGGGTTCTTAACTTTTTTCTGTGTCATGTATCTTCTCCACTTTGGCAGTCTACAAAAGCCTACAGATCACTTATTAGAATGATGTTTTTAAATGTATAAAATAAAACAGATAATTGAAATAAAAATGTATTTTCCCCTACGCAACTTCATAGACTCCCTAAAATCTATTCATGGAGTTCCTGGGAGCTCAGAGACCCTAGTTTAAGAACCCTGCATTACATTAAGGCTTCACAAAAGATGTGTGTTGGCAGTTTCACTATTCACACCATGAAATTTTAGGCCAACCTCTCTCAGTAGAGTTTCCCCAAAAAGAAATTCTCAATGCTAATTAAATCATAGGTCCAGCCTTTAGCTCCGTATTAAGTGATTACCATTAATGCACTGGCAATATAAATAAACTGTACCATCCCTTTGTTGCTAAGTCCTCTGCTTTGCTCAGAATTCTAAGAGAAATAGTTACTCTGTGCAATAGTTACCAAGGGTTGAGTCTGACTCAACTGAGTTCCAAGACAAATGATTAATTCTCTTGAATATGACAAGCTGTTGTATACTTGAGAAATATGGACACCAAAACTGTTGTATATTTATGAGAGAAATGTAATTTAGTTGGTTATAGACAGATTAGAATATAATTAATCATAAGCTAAGGTGAAGTCACTTGCAGAGAGTATCGAAAGACTGAAACTTGGAAGAGAAGAGAAGCAAAAGAGTGGATATGTTGAAAGTATACACTCTAGAACTGCATCAAGTAAGCTTGAAGCTGAAAGGGATATATGCTACAATTGCTGCTGAGGAGTAAGTCTAGCTTATCAGAGGAACAGTTGAGAAGGAGAGAAAACACTCAGTGGGCTAATTAGTTTAACTAAGATGCCCAATGAGGTATTAGTCGAGCATATCATGGATCAATTTTGTTTAGCAGTAGAAGGATTTATTCAACCCAGAAGATGTATTCATCAAGGAACCTTTGTGGACAGTTTCTGGGACAAAAAGAGGACAAAGTTTTAAATTCCAGAGTTTGAATTATCCTAAGAGGTTTTCCGCATTCGTTTGCCTCATTGGCAAGTTTCTGAAAGTGTGTCCAGTCTCTCCTAGACCCTGAGTGCATTAGTGGGACATTGGGGCCCAGGATTATGTGTAGATTGTGATGTATTTATTATTCATGAACTTGTTTTGATATATGAGTATCTGTCATATTATCATTATTTCTTTTGTCTTATTGCTAAATAAATTGTTATTTTTAAAATCTAAAATGTGACAACAATGAATGACTGGTTGTATAAATTGAGGACTGAAGAGCAAAAGTGGTGATTAAGGTAAGTGGATTCCCCCAAAGTAGTGTTATCTCTAGATTCTGAAAAAGCTTGAGCAGAACCATGTGATGGTGGTGATTCTCTAGGAGCCAAGATCTTTCAGTGTGATGAGAGGTTGGAATGAGAGAGTTGACCTAGAGAATAAGCAGACATTCACACGGCAGTGTGAGAAGTCTGAGGTGTCACACAGTATGAGTGGCACCCCCTGTACCCATCACACAAAGGGGAACGATAACATAAACTCTACAACCGATGAGCTTACAGTCTAATAGGGGAGATGTGATTTATAAACAAAAATATGACAAAATATGACAATATCATAAGGACAAAGGTGAGATCAGAGAAAATAAGAATAGAATATTCAGTTAGTCAATTAGCCTTTATTAGGCATCTTCTCCAAGCACTGTGCTAGGCACTGGGGATACAAAGAAATGTAAAAATTAATACAGTCCTTGCTCTCAAAGAGCTCATAGTCTGATGGGGAGACAAAATTCAGACAACTATGAACAAGCAAGATGCATACAGGGTAAACTGAGGGTAATCTCAGTGGAAAGGCATTAAGATTAAAGAGGAAAAGGAAAGATTTTGTGTAGAAGATGGGACTTTGGCTGAGACTCAAAGGACTCCAGGGCATCCAGGAAGGGGACATGAGGAGGAAGAACATTCCAGGCATGGAGGACAACCAATGAAAATGGAATGTCCTATTCCAAGAACAGCAAGAACGCTAATATCAATGGGACAAAGATTAAGTAAGAGGGCATAAGGTATAAGAAGACTGGAAAAATAGGAAGGGAATAGGTTATGAAGGTCTTGAAAAATCCAATAGAAGATTTTGTATTTAATCCTAGAGGTGATTGGAAGGCACTGGAATTTGCTGAACAGGGGATGATATAGTGAGATGAGCTAAATTTGGGAAGATCAATTTGACATGTGAGTGGAAGATGGCCTAGAGTGGGAGATCACTTGAAGCAGAGAGACCAATCAGCAGTGTACTGCAATAGTCCAAGCAAGAGATGTTTAGGGCCTGTAATAGGGTGGTGACAGTGTCAGAGGAAGCATGTACAGGACACATACAAGAGATGCTGTGAAGGTGGAAATGACATAAATTAACAACTGATTAGATATAGTGGGTAAGATAATATCTAGGCTGTGAGACCAGGTGCTCTGGAGAATGGAAATTATGCAAATAGGGAAGTCAGGGAAAATGGAGGTTAGGGGACGAGTCACAAGTTCAGTTTGGGGTATGTTGAGTGTAAGCTGTCTATAGCACGTTCTAGATGGTAATAGACAGTTGGAGACGTGAAACTGGAGGTTGGGAGAGATTAGAACTCAACAAGTAGATCTGAGAGTTGTCTTCATAGAGATGATAACTGAAACCTGGGACCTGAGGAGATCACCATGTGAAATAGCAGAATGGTGGGAGACAGGGAGGGCCAATCAAGTTAGAGCTGTTTGAGGACGGGGCAAAAGTGGACATATTCACAGGCAGTAGGAAAGCAGCCAGTGGAGAGGAAGTAATTAAATATTACAGAAAAATAGGGATGATGGAAAGGGGGCAATCTACTGGAGATGATTGAATCACATTTGCCTATAGAGGGGTTTGCCTTGGCAAAGAAAGGAGCTACCTATTCATGAAAAACAGAGGTGAAGGAGGATATAGTGGCAGAAGATGAGATGATGACAGCTGAGAAGATGGATCTCTCTTTAATGGCTTCCATTTTTTTCAGGTAAATGAGGCAAAATTCTCATTGGAGTGAGGGGAAAGAGACAGAAAAACAGAGAGATAGAGAGAGACAGAGGGAGGGAGGGAGGAGATAGAGAGAGAAACAGAGAGAGAGAGAGAGAGAGAGAGAGAGAGAGAGAGAGAGAGAGAGAGAGAGAGAGAGAGAGAGAGAGAGAGAGAGAGAGAGAGAGAGACAGAGAGAGAGAGAGAGAGACAGAGAGAGAGACAGAGACAGAGAGAGACAGAGAGACAGAGGGAAAGAGGGAAGGAGGAGAGAGAGAGACAGACAGAGAGACAGAGAGAGAGAGAGAGAGAGAGAGAGAGAGAGAGAGACAGACAGAGAGACAGAGAGACAGAAAGAGAAAGTTGTGGGAGGTTTGAAGAGGGATGAAAAGGTTTAGAAATGCCTGTGGGGTGAATAGGATAGTGAATCAGGGAAGTGTAAAAGAATTGCCTGCTGCAGGGATTATGCAACATAAACTTGCAGTGACCGGTTAACACAGTTTGGTGACTTTTCTGCGGCTTTGGGCAGCAGCACATGAATAGAAGTGAAGGCTGAGAGGAAGGAGGCTCTGAGGATCTGTAGTTAGCTACAGACACTGCCTGCCTAGAACTCGGTGGAAGAGCAAGTAAGAATCACATGGTGTGCTTGATGGGGGTACAGTGGAAGGCCCCAGGCTAAGAGCTGTGGGAGGAAAATAGAAGAGGCATGCCTGAGCTGGGTTGTAGTGGAAGAAAAGAATGTCTACAAGCAAGTATGTGGAAGGAGAACATGGCAAACACAGAGAAAGCCTATGTGAATTGCATAGCAATGGGATGATGGCAGACAGAATCAAGGAAGAGTGAGTCATCTGGTTTGGCTGTAACATGGAGTATGAGAATGGGGAAATCGTGAAATAAGGTTGGAAATGCAAAATCGAACTGCACTTTGAGGGCCTTAAAAGCAAAACTAAGGTAGCTCATGTTTCGTCATCTAGATCATGGAAAACTACTTAAGCTTCTAGAGCCCCAGAATGACAGGGTCAGACAAGTGCCATTAAAAGGTTTTTTAAACTTCAGTGGGAAGGAGCAAATTGGGGAGACTGAAGGCACAGAAGCTAGTCAAGAGGCCATTGTACTAGTACAGATGAGAGATGACGAAGCCTAAATTCTAGGTGTGGCAGTGTGAACAGAGAAGAGGGGGCACAGGGGAAAGAGAGTGAGGGTATTGGCAAGAGTTAGCAAGACTCGACAACGGATGGATGTGGGGACAGAAAAGAATGAGTCAGAAAGGGCTCAGGGGAGGGGTGGAGTGATTGGTATCATCCACAGAGATCGAGAAGCTGTGAGGGGACATGACAGACTGGGTTTTAAATAGGCTGAATGTGAGATGTCAATGGTCCATGCAGGTGATGTCCAATGGGCAATGGGAAATGTGGGACCAAAGTTCAAGGGAGGAAGATGGACTGGAGACAGATTTATGTATGTGT